CCCCTCCCCCGTTTCTCCTTCTTTCTCTTTCGAACATTCGCCACTGCTTATTTCCTCGGTCGATCGCGTGACAGCCATCATTTTCGAAATATCGCGACGAGAGACACTTTAAACATGTAGGCGAGCTCGTTTGCTCGAGCGCAGACCGCGTAGACAAAATGTGGGCGTGAAAATCCATCCACGGGCGCGCATAGCCGCGAATATCGAATTTCTCGCGCGTGCTTTTATGCAATACAGCCACGTTGTGTATCTCGTGTATGCAATAAATATTTTACAAGCGACGCCTGTCGAATTATAGATGCGGTACATGCTGAAGACGGCGCGGCGCGCGTTGTTAGAGATAAGTCTCGCCTGCTAAGCGTGCGTGTAAAGATAAGACGTTTATTAGAGCGGCGCATCTCGCAGTGCTCACGCCGGAAACGGGAGAACGACTATGCATGTGTGTATATATATGTGCACCTGTTAGCCGATGACGACGTTGCTGCGATCGGCCGCCAAATGCGCCGCGGAGTCGCGAAGGCGCGAATGATTTGCAAGTTAGTCGCTCGCTCTGCGAAGGAAAAACAACTCGCGCGCTCGTCGCGAATCCGATCGATGCTCGTACGAACGTCGCCCGATGCCTTCGAGTTCGCCTCGCAACCACTGCCGATGACCGCGGAATGTTCGCCTAGAGTCGCTCACGAGTTCGCGCGAGACCGCCGGGAATGCCGCGGTTTCGTGTCATACCGTTAATTAAGATGTAGTTTGCGATTAAGAAATTACGTTGGGCGAGCAATTCGCTGACGACGTCCACGGCTGACCTCCGCTTAACCCGTTCTGTTACGGAATCGTCTTGCGAAATCGCGATTCTGCTGCAGCAGTCTCAATTTCAATCCGATGACAAATCATTCGTTTCCTCAGAGTTGTTGTATCCAGCAATTTCTCAACTCATTTGTATCAGCGGGAGATTGACATCTGCGCGCATCACCGAATCTCCTTTTTCTTTAGATCGACATCAGATCTAATAAAACGTGTCGAAGACACATGTATTTTGATTCATCTTCAGATGAATCAGATTCATCTTCAGAAGAAGAGAAGTGTAAAAAATCCTGACTGTGCTCGTTTCCGTGATAATAGCCCGGCGAAATGAACAATGCATTTCTGATGCAAATGAGTTAACGACGCAGCTTCGCCAAAGCTTGTCCCTCTAGATGAAACTACCTCGGACGATGATAAAAGGACTTTTGTCAGCTCTGCAATAACTTCAAAGGAGCCGTACATAATACGCGATCCATTTAAATGTTTTATATCTCGCATGGAAAAAAATAATGTTTTGTCAGTAGAATTAATCAACAGCGTCGCTTAAATTAGAGTCAATCTTCTTGATATACTTTCAATAGGAATATATTATTGAAATTATATATAATACATTATACATTGCTTTTTTTAAATAATTGTAGTATTAGTTTCAATGATATCGCTGTTGAGTATCAGGCTTGCTTCAAGGCAATAGCAGTATTATTCAGAAACTAATGCATTATACATCGTTTTAATAACTTTGGTATTAGTTTCAATGATATTGCCAATATCAAAAAGGTTTACTCCGAGGTAATAGCATTATTATCGGAATAGTACATTATACATCGGTCTAATAACTCTAGTATTGGTTTCAGTGATATCGCCATTAAGGATCCTGACCCCTCGCATTGTCTATCTCTTTTTAATGACGTTAGAAGCGAGAAAATGCATGCTAAAAATTCTTGCGAAATACGAATATATATTGAAATAAAAATATATATCTATAAAGTAACATATACAATTGATTAAATAAATTTGTAAGATATTCCGTGCACTCTCCTTTTGCTCTAACAATCAATAATTTATTGTAAATTATTTTGAATAGAAATAAATGGAGAAATAGGTTGAAAAAATGAATTGTATGTCACGTTATAATTTACGACAAATTATTGATTGTTAGAACAAAAGGGGAGTGCACGGAATATCTTATAAATTCATTTAATTAATTGCAAGTGTTACTTTATGAATACATATTTTTATTTTAACGTATTTCGCAAGAATTTTTAGCATGCATTTCCTCGCTTCTGACGTCATTAAAAAGAAATAGACAATGCGAGAGGCCAGGAGCCTTAAATCGAGAAGATTTTCTTCAATTACGGCGCTAATTCCATTGATGCACTTTTTTCCTTGCACAACTCGTTCTTTACCGCGATTGATCTCGGAAAAAATCGGTTCTCCGAATTCACATTTACCGCCTGCAATCCAGACTTTCCAGGCCTTTACCGTGCTTTCTCGATAGCGTGTGGGCGCTCCTCAAGTCAACTCCGCGACAGGCAGCCGAATAATAAATACGCCGATAAAGTGCGTGTCCTAACCGGATTAACTCGGCACTATCGCGGCTAGCGTTTTTATTTGTACAAATTTTTGGTTTTAATCGTTTCGAGGCGAAAATTGCACGGCTTCCTTGCGTTTGGTTTCCTCGCGCCCGTCGTGAGAATTTTCTCGGCTCGGGGTATCCGCCTCGCTCGCAACCTCCGTCGAATTCTTGGGCAGTGACTCGCGACGCTCGCGGAAGTCTATGACGAAATGGCAGAGAAGGTTTCTCACCGCGCGTTGTTCCTCGTTACCCCGTTATTATGCGGAAAACGCTGTCTCCGGTCGCCCGTCCCGTCCGCCTTGACGCAATGATTACGCGCGCGCGCGCGGCCGTAAAATCGGCCGTTAGCTCCGTTAGAGGCCCGAGAGAGCGGCTTGGTGATAACGCGCTCGTGCGCGTTTAATCCCATTTTAATTGATACGTTCGCGAACGGAAACGGTCGTCAACATCTCAGAATTTCGCGCGAACTTGCCAATTACATCGCGCCAGCCGGCACGCGAATATTATGCGCTGCGTGGAGAAATGTGTAACGAGCGGCACACGCGGGGAAAATTCTTCTCGCGAATCAAACTGAGAAAGAACAAGCAAGGAGAAATTAAACAAGTCAGCGAGAGCCAACGCAAGGTATCAGCTCTGAATGCTCAAGTAACTTTAAAAATTCGGTCGAACGTTTGGCTGACTCTTAGAAAATACTGTTCCATGTTTGGCATTTTATTTTTATTAACTTTAGAGAGCTGGACTTTTAGAGAGGAGATTGATGAGGATCGAGAAGGAATGATGAGGAAGAATGAAACAAGTCAGTTAGAGCCAACGCTTAAATTGAAAAGATGTTTAGATTCAGTCAAACGTTTGACTGACTCTCAGCTATGTTCAGTGTTTGGCATTTAGTTTTAGAGTTATAGAACCGTATTAATTGTTGTTACTTGAAAGGTTAGTCTTCCGTGAGATACTCAGATTTGTAGTCAGTATCAGGTCCGAGTTTTTCAGTTGAATTATGTTATTTGCGACATTATGTCTGTAATTGCGGTTCAACTGAAAAACTCTCATCTAACTCTGAACTCAAACCTGAGTATCTCACTGGAGAGGAGATTCAAGTAATGACCATTAATACAAGCCTATTAGAGTCAAGAAAAAGAATGAAAAAAATCAGTCAGAGCTAATTAAAGATATAAGTTGCGAATAACCCAAGTGATTATGGACATTCAATCAAACGCTGAACTAATATTAAATATTTACAATTCTAGCTGAAGTAATAAGATACATATTAAATGTTTGCAATGTATTATAATAAGATAAAATATTAAATGTTTGCAACACTAACATTTTGTGTTCTTACTGGCTTATTTGATTTTTCTGGCCTATATCTAAGAGTTTAAACAATTTGATAGAAAAGATAATCGGGTAATCCTCGCTTGAGTTGTGAAATCATGATGGTAAATTATTTCTATTGTGTACATTTTCTCCTGTGTCAGACTTTTGTAAAACTGAAATTTCGAGATCATAGATCTCTTGACAGATCTCTCGCGGTTCTCCGCAATATAGCGCCGTGTGATTCGTCATCCTGTTTCGCACCTACGGCACGATGACCGCAGTGAAAGACGTAACATCGATGGCATAAATTAGCCGAATTTGTGTTGCAAAACGGAGGATTGGCGCGCGTCCAAAACTACCAAAGAATTAGATCGCCGCTTGTAACCGCGCGTCGTGTTGCACGAGAGAGGAATCCTCTCCGCGATCGTTTCGCGGATCCTTACTGGAACGGCGCGAATAATTGCGTCCGTGTAGCACTCTAACGTATAATTTCGCAGAACATCGAAATGGAGTATGTCGCAGGGTCAAAAATATGCTCTTCAAAGTCGGTCAGAGGCAAACGTCATTTCGCGGCCAGTCGATAGGACCATGCAAGAAAGCATGGTCGATCGGATATTATGAATGTTAATTTTCACTCTTCGCTGCATAATCGTGCCGCACGATCGACCTCACAGCGAAGCAATATGCCAAAGAAAGAATAAAAAGAACAAAACGATAACGGCCAGAGAATTCTGCGGTTGCGTATATCTTGAGTTGCCTACATGCAAGTCTCAGTCGAGATATTAACGTCGCTGTTAATCTTGGCCTTCGGAACGTCTCGTCCCAAATACTCGATAGGAGAACGTCAGAATTAATTTCCCGTTGGGGCGAGAATGATGTACTCGGTGTTAAAATATGAAGAAGGGGAAAAAGTAGAGCGGCTGTTTCGTGCTATTTCAGCGATCAACCGCAGCGCGCGGTCTACGTGGCCTTCGGAAAGTTGCGATGCCAGACCGAGACGCTCCGGATCGCATTTGTCACAATTTATTGTTACGTCTCGTTACTGAGTAGTAAGTGCCGCGAAGTCTATCGAATAACGATCTGAAACGATCATCTGAAATTGACAACCGAATTGTCCCGATTAGAGAGAAAAGCCCTTCGATCCGTTATTTCATTGGACCCAATTTAGCTTTTGTCATTGCGTCGGAATCACCTTCGTCCGATCAGCTTCTGACGCTCGCGTTATGTTTTCGTGTCGAGTTGTACTTTTCCCTCGGGTCGATCGTCAGGTTAGATAAGAGGCGATAAAAATCGTCACGTTCGATTTGTGACCGCGGACCTAAAGTGTACGCTAATGGCGCTTTCTTTTTCAATTCGCGAATTATCTCTCTTGCCTCTTCTAACACGCGTCGTCTCCTTCTCTACTTCCAGCGAATGTCAGAGACTGCTGAGCAGAATACTGGACGACATGGGCGAGGCATCGGCGAGGGCTCAAGGCCTCAACAAACCCATCACCAGCGCCCTTAAGCTCCGTGACACGGATCACACGGTCTATCTGCTCGTGGATAACGAGGCGAACAAGTAAGTCCCCTTCACCCACGCGGAGATTCAGCTGAGGTGCGATAAGAACCAGCTCGTGCGAAACCATAGCGTTTTCGTGAGAGCGTCGCGAGCGGCACTGAATTAGCTAGCGTCTCTCCCCCTCCCCTCCCCCCCCCCCC